CCGGTCCCGGTCCCGGTCCCGGTCCCGGTCCCGGTCCCGGTCCCGGTCCCGGGTCCGGACTCACCTGCCTTGGAGCCGCTGTTGATACCGCTCTCAGGGGACTCCCGCCCCTCGGGAGGGGCAGGGAGGTTGAGGACACAGCGCCTGTTTTGGGGGGTTTCGGGAGCCCCTGGCCACTTTAGTCCCCAGAACGGGAACACCTCGAACTGTGTGTTAAAGTTAAATGGCTGAGATAATAGTAAACAGAGCTTAGGTTGAGATGGTTTTCTTAAGAAAACAATGTTGCTATTTAGCAGAAAATCAAAGTACAAAGTTCTTCAATAAAATAAAACAAATATGAATTTCAAAGTCCTCTAGTACAGACTCCGAAAAGAGGCTCATTCCACACCGGGCCCGAACAGGGCTTTGAGAGACCTGACCAGCTGCAGAAATTCCTGCTGAGGCAGGGGGCAGCAGTAGGTGACATTTAGGGGTCAGTTCAGGCCCAAAACCAGTTAATGAAGCGAGAAGTGAAATTGGGATCTGAGCTCATCACTTGGATCCAAACCCAAAGGCAGTAAGAGCAAATTATCATAGATCAGGAGCAGGATAACAGCATGGAAACATGATTCTCCTACTCACTTCCTGTGTGGTGCCAACGGCTGCTTCTTATGCTGTTGCTTTTCCATTGCTTGGAAAAAGACTCTAGAAATAAAATTTGAAAAAAAAAAGTATGTGTTATAATCAAGCAATTCTTGGTTACTTGGTTATTCCTGACAACCTCTGCAGCCCCCTTCCAGAATAATTTAATAATTAGGCAGGTTTCCTGGTTTTACAAATTTAAAAGGAGTCCTGGGATTGCTGTGCAACAATCAGAAACCTCTGGTTTCTATCCCAGGATTATCCATGGACATTTTCTTGTACTGCCAGATTTGCTCTCTGATTTAAATCTCTACTTTCCCTCACATTTACCCCCAGGGAAACAATTGTATCTTCACTCTGTTTTTATTTTAAGGGCACAAATCAAGCAAACCTGGTTTACCCAGCCTAGAAAAATACCCCTGTGCTAATTGTGACCCTCCTTTTTGTGATCCCACCTTTGGATCACTCACCTGAAAAATCAGAGACAGAACTTGTGGTCTGCAGCCTCTCCAGAGCCCTGCAACAGGTCCTTCTCCTGACTCTGCACTCCTGGAAATCTCTCTACGTATTTCCTAGGATAAAATATTCACCTTTTTAATATCTACTTACTCCATGATCAAGTTTACAACTGCAGATTTTTTACCTTTTCTATCATTTCCTACTGATACTCTATTAAGCAAAAAAAAAACAAACCCCAAAACCCAAACAAAACAAACAAACAAAAAAACCAACCCCCTCCCTCCCGAAAAAAACCCCGAAGAACCAACAAAGAACCAAACCCCAGTAATCCAGGTTTTAAACATGCATATAAACACCCAAATCCAAATTTTGTCCTATTAAATCCTCCCTGTAACATGACCTGTTCTTAAAAATAACCCATTCCCCCTCCTCACCCCCCCCCCCCC